TGTCTGTGTGTCAGTTTTTTTCTATCCAAATGTAGATATAGAAAAATAATATTTAGAGGGTTGAGATCGTATTATGAATCATATTTTATCTTAAAGGATCTTATCAGGATATGGTTTCTGCCTACTTGATTAAAAAATGACTTGAAAACATAGTTTTTAAATGATTATGTAACATTTCCTTATGCGAGTGTCTTATAATTATTTAATTATTCCCTAATCATTAGGACATTCAGAGCACTTCCAACTTTTTGTCATTACAAATTCTAGTGCAGTTGCTGTCTTTTTATTTTAATCTTTATTTGCATCTTTGTTCATTTACTTGGATGGAATCCTAGAAGTAGAATTACTGGGTCAAAGGGTATGAACATTTTTAGCTCTCTTGTTACATATTGCCAAACTGCTTCCCAGAAAGGTTCCTACTCCTGTCCGGGGTGTGTAAGAATCTTAGGGACATTTTTCAGGTGGGTAACATTTGTTATAAGCAGCAATCTTCTCGTTAATTTTTCACCCTTTTGCTGCCCCTCTCTTCCTTCCGGATATGTTCTCTATTTTTTTAGGGCCTTCGTCCCTCATATCTCTTGCATATTATGAGCCTGATAAAGAAATCGGTTGCTTCAGTTCTAGGGGACAATTTTATTGTTGGCTTGAATCTCTTCCAGCGATGGAACCTGAGGCATTGAAATGGGCAGTTGAGGAGAGATTTTGCACAGGGACATCTCCAAATGCCCCGATCTCATTGTGAGGTAGGCAGCCATTGACTCCTTTTTTCCTTCATGAGCTTTGTCTGGTCAACTGGCAAATGTTGGCCAGGAATCTTGGTTTAATTGACTTTTAACCCATTTTCTGCTGTGGATCAATGGGTAACTTCATGCAAGTTCACTTTTTTCCTTCCAAGTTTCATTTTACTATAAATTAAACATTTAATATATTTTTATTTGCAGTACATACTTAGGAACTTGGATACTGAAGAAATCTGGATCATATAAAACTTTCCTCTTTTCTATTTTTCTTTTCTTTAAAATACATTATTTAGTTACCTGGCTTATGTGAGGCCATGGTTTGGTTTCGTTTGGTTTGGGCTATGTGCGTGAGAGAGACAGAGATTGACTGATATTGATTGTGTGCACACATCATTTTGATCTCATTTCACAAAGTCCAGGAAGGAAAATGAAGCAGGAAATAAGTCTTAAGAATTGTAAAAAATCCTAAGCTATGATTTGGTCATATTATTACTTGGAATTAACATTGTTTTCATGTAAAAGAAGAAAAGCACGAAAATATGAATTTCAGCATTATTTTAATAGTGAAAAACTGGATGTAATCTAACTGTCTAATCATGGAGAAATGGTTAAGTAAATTATAGTAAATACAGTTTGGTAATGTTATGCAACCATTAAAAACAATGATTACAAAGACTATGTAGCAACATGGAACATGTTTATGATATAATTTAAAACTTTAAGAAGACCGATTATGCAGACGGGCATGAAAAAGCATGCAGAAGTGAAAATGGTTGCCTAGAGTGATCTTTTAAAAATGCCAACATTGTTACACTGTGATTTTTGCACTAAACACGGAAAACACTAGGGAAGTTTGGCATGCTTTGGAAAGATAGGGAGGGTTGAGCGGGGTGGACCAAGGTCCCTTCCGGCATAAATGTCTGTTCTCATTGTCTTCCATGTGCTATGAAGGCTAAGAAGCTACTTGCTCAGTGGTTCATTGCGGTGTTAGAGCAGAGGTGAAGAGTGCAGCCTCCGAGAGGGCATGTGCTCCTTCAGCCCCAGGAGGACACTTTGCATATTGTCTCAGGAGATGGGGAGAGTCATTGTCAGAGTATGGGGCCCAGGACATGCCGGGGGCAGGGGGGGGGGCAGGGGGCAAGTATGGGGGGCGGGCAACTCCTGGGTCAAACCACCCAATGTCACCCTCCACCCAATATTTTTACTCCGGGAAATTTAAGTTAAAATGGAATTTAAGATAACAAGTGATTTTAGAGAGTCAGAAATTAGCCTAAAACTATGTAACTGGAGGAAGGTGGAGAGAGTTAGAAAGGACATTTGAAAGCTTTGTCTCTGTCTTGATAGGGGAATTTTGGGGTCAGTGAGTGTGTGTGTGTGCATCATGGTGGGTTTTTCCCCCCTTTGCTACAAATTGCTAGCACTTCCCTTTCTCCCCACACTGCCCAGTTGTCTGGGCTGAGCCGGGGCGGGGGGTGGGGGGGTGCAGAGTTAATTGTATTAGAGGGCCCCTGTGAGAAAAAGAGGAGGAACCAGCAGAGACTTGGAAGATGAAGGTGACAGATCTAAGAGGCAGGGAGAGGGGATTTGGGGCTGGGGACAGCAGGCTGTCCATATCAAGTCTTAGCAGCTGTTGTGACAAAGGCTATACTGAGGGGTCCGAATGAACTGTCAGAGGACTGGGGCTTAGGCCCTCAGGTTTGTGTTTTGTGCACTGTCTTGAGGCTGTCACTTCTGTGTGGGTCGGCTGGTTATCACCACGTGTCCCTCCTGCTGGTTCTCCTGCAGCTGACCCTTCCCCCACCTCCCACATTCTTGATGCTCTCTGTGACTCAGCGGCTTCTCAGGACGTCTGAGCAGCCTATTTTTTCTGGGGCTAGAACCACAGTCAGGAGATGTTGTAACCAGAACTCTTCCTTTTATTATCTTTCCTTCTGAGACATGAAGGTCTTCTCCCTCCCATAACCTGTGCAAATGGGAAGCCTCCTCCACAAAAGTGGGCAGTGGGAAGGTTGTAGAAAGAGTACCCTCTCTAGCTTCTGCCTTGAGAAAAAGACAGGCTCTGATTAATCCTGTCGGCTGAAAAGAGAACATTGGAAAGCCAGCCTGAAGTTGGGCGTTGTGCTTACCCACTGGGCCTCGCTGCATATTCTATGCTTTCTCTTAGAAATGACCCAGGAGTGGCAATAGTCCTGAAACCCCTGGGAATTCTGTCTCTCTGGCTGCGTCAAGGGAATTTGCCGAGTTTTCTTGGGGCATGCGTGCACCCCCCATCCTGACCAGACAGCTGTGCACTCTCAGTGGGAGGCTCCTCTAGCCTTTCTGCAGGGGGACCCCTGTGTGCCCCTGTTCCCAGGGATGTCCTTTCTCAGGGATGCACGCCCTCTCCAACCAACGCCAGGCCTCTTGCCTTCGCTTCTTGGACCTGTGTCTGCAAGAAGACTTCACGATCCTCCTGTGGCGCTTGTTCCTAACTCCTGGCTTGTCTCCATCTCTTTCGCTTTCCTGTGCTCACAGTAGATCCGTTGTGGAACTGGAGCTGGGGCGAAAGCTTTGCTTGGGTAGGCACGAGAAGCAGGGCCTCCGGCTGCCGGTACCTGCGACAGACCTGATGCTCCATTGAGCAGGGCTGTTTCTGCCCTCAACCCTCACCCTGCCATTTCCGCTACACTTCTTCCTTCGCCACTGCCATCTTTTTTAACCTCCGTTTCTGTTCTTTTATCCTTTTTTTCACCTCCTCTTTTATTTCTCCTTTTACATCCTTTGCCCTGCCTGCTTTATTCTTTGCTTTCCCATTGTTACCCAGCGAGTCGTGGGATCCCTGACGCATCTCCCTTCTGACTGAGTCGTCTCTCCTGATTGGCATTCTGGCCTGACCCTCCTGAATCGAGGGATTCGCTGTTGACTGGTATCCTTGTCTGTAGACGGCCCTTTCCTCCTTGGGGCAGCCTTTCGACGCTGCCAGGCCCCTTGTGGGGGTGGGAGAGAACAGACCGCACCACCAGGTGCCACCCTTAGAATGGGCCTGACTGCAGGCCCTGCCCCCTGGGCCTGGAAGATGACAGGTGTAGTATCTCAGTAGCTTACCTGTTGACCAACCTAGTGTAGGCAGTGGCCTTAAGTTGGCCGTCTCATGACTTTGCTTAGTTGTAGACGAAGATCCATGGTGGGCTCCGGTCTTAGTGAATTTTACTTGTTGGAGCCAAGCAGGGCCAGGGGTGGGTGGTGTCTGTCCTTGAAAGTCTAAATGGTGTTTTCTAATCCCTGTGGGGCCTTGTCACCCTTCTACACTGTGTTGTGCGTCAGGTTGGGTGTAACCGCCTGCGGGAAGTTGCTCCTAAGCCTTCGGGGGGAGAACAGAGCTCCTGCCCTTACTTTGGCTCTGCAGAGAGACTGAAGGAAACCTCAAGGAGAGGGGAGGCTGGCTTGAGGGTGGGGCATGTCTCCTAACACCAAGATCCTCTGGGGTCAGGCGAAGTGGTCAGGGGTTGGGGCTTTCTTTCCATCCCTCATTCTTTCAGTTACAAGTGGCTTCTGGGTAACTGCAAAGTGGAGGAAGTGAAGCATGTGGCCCTGCCCAAAGGACCCAGGGACGCTTGAGTTAATTCTTTGACACCTCCATGGATCTGGAGGGGCTGCTATTGACCGAATTACTGGCAGCGTTTTATCTAGTAGTTGAACTGGAGCTTAAATCCATCCTGAGATAGTTTCTTTATGTATAAAACTAGGTTATGACCTATTTTCTAAGGCTTTTGTGACGAATGATAATAATGCCTAGTGTTTACGAAGTGCTTAATACACGCCAAGCACTTAATTTTCATCAAAACCTTTATGAGGTGCAGGGAGTGTTATTATCCCCATTTTATAGATGCAGAAACTGAGGAGCACAAAGATTAAATAGTTTGTGGTCACACAGTAAGTGGCCAGAACTGGAATTGGAACCCTGGCCCTTGACCCAAAGCCTAGGCTTATACCCTCTGTGTATCTCAAGCTGCCTAATGCTCAGCTCAGCGCATAAAAGAGCCTCAGGAAAGTGAGGTGATGCACGTTAATGGATTTTGATGACTGCTTACGGAATGGAATCCGTAGAGGTTTCCAGGCCCTGGCTGGGGTGGAACATTTGGTGCCCTGGGGAAGGGAGCTGATGCGAGAGCGTGCCGCCAGCACAGCTTCTGACAGAGGTGAGTCAAGCCAGAGCGAGGTTCCTACGGGGCCTGCTTCACCCTCCTTCTCACCAGCACCTCCCTCCCTCCTGCCATGCAGGGTGATGTGAGCAGAGCCCAGGAATGCCTTATGTGGATCGGCAGAACCGAATCTGTGGGTTTCTGGACATCGAGGAGAATGAGAACAGTGGCAAGTTTCTGCGGAGGTACTTCATTCTGGACACCCAGGCCAACTACCTTCTCTGGTACATGGACAACCCCCAGGTGAGAGGCTGCGGGGGAAGGCGGCAGGGGGCTGGCTGCCCGTCACTGCCTGGGAGGAATGCACATGGGATTAGCCTGAAGGGCTTCATCTGTCATGGGCAGCACCGACCTGCTGGTCAGGAAGGAGGGGGAAACGCCTCCACGCACACACACGCCCGGAAACACGCATGCACACACATGCACCCTCATGCACAGGAAATCATCCCAAATTTTAGTTTGAGAGAAAGCTCATCTCTCCTGACCCAGAGGATCTGGTGTCTTTTCTCACACTCGGGGAGAGGCAGGCCGGGTTGGGTCCAGGCTCTGAGGCACGGCCCGCTTCCGCTCCCCTCTCTTGTTAGGGCTGTGGCCTTGTGGCCGCTCCTGCTCTTCCACTCTGGGGCCCCTCCCAGCAGAGAATGTGACCTGATTCCCTGAGCTGGACAAATGGTGGACTTCCCTGGTCTCTTGCATTGAGCCGGGAGTCCCAACACCGGGTTGCAGGTGACCCAGGAAGTCCCCTACTTTTGCTTCCTTGCACTGCAGATGAAAACAGCTGAGTCTCAGACATAGGAATCAACAGGGTCCCCCAAGTTTTGTGGCCTTGCCCGGGAGTCCCTGGTCTGGGAAGAAGTTGCTCAGCCTCTGATACGGGATCTCAGGTCTTTTTTCAGCTGCTCTGAGTGCTGTTGGCTCTTTCCTTCCCACTGTCCCCGAGCAGTCCGGTGGGATGGAGCCCCAAAGACTGGTGTGGCCCTTGAACGGCGAGATCATGGGCCATGGCCATGCTGGGGTGGGGAGGGGTGTGGGCCTGAGATTTGGCTCTGGTTCAGAGACTTGGGAAGGGGAAAGCCTGAGTGTTGCAGGATGGATTTGGGCTTTGAGATGTGAAGTGGAAAAAGAATCCTGCGAGTTTCTAGGTTGTTATCCAGGGACTAACCCTCTAGAGACCTTTGGCATTTGTCCTCTGGATTTAATGGCTGAGAGAAAATGCTGTAGATACAGAAAACATACTCACAGATCAGCTGCCGCGAATCACTGTCTCCAGGAAAGACTTAACCCAAAATAGAACTGTGCCCCCTGTTTTACCCCACATTCCTGATAAACCTTCTGTTGATTACTTGCATTTAAACTGCTGAGCATGCAGAAGAAAACCTACACACAGACACTCACATCCTTGACGTAGTCTGGAATGCCTGCCTCTTCTGATGTTTTGTTTTGGGGTTTGCCTTCGGGCCCTGCTCTCTCATTTTCCCTGCCTTTGCTCTGTAGAGGTGCCCACAGCTGAGTCAACAGATCTTCTGTGAAAGGAAATATCATTTTAGGTGCTACTTCCCCACTATTGGAGGAACTTGAAATCGAGTCCTGCGGCCAGCAGACCTGGCTTCTGGCATGCCAGGGATGAGCCTGGTGACTTACGGTCTGTGAGTCTTATCGTTCATTTTCCCTTTTTCATCCTTCGTATACCTCCTCCCACTGATCTGCCAAGTTGGCTCAGGTAATTCGAATGTATTTTTGTCCTGCTTTAGCGAAGTTAGTGCTATGCATCTTACTAGGACTGTTCTTAACCCGAATTCCCTTGCTTAGGGAATCCTGCCTAGCCGTTGCCAGCAACCTCCCCTGAGAGCTGGACCCTCCTTCATACTCTGGGCCACAGGCTGAGTCTTGTTGTCAGTGACATGTCACCCGGGACCACAGTGTCACCATTTCCAATCTCGAGCGTTGCCAGTTGTCAGGATTTCTCTTGCTCTTCCCAGCTTTCTGATTTGACTCTTCCTTGGTTGCACTAACCGTGGAATGCTGGGCCTTGGGCTGCCTTCCTGGGGCGCCTGGGTTCAGCCTCTGCGGCAGGTCTCACCCTGCCCGGGGAAGCCTCCTGTGCCCCCCTGCCCACTGAGCTCTCTTTGTGCTAGAGCCTTCTCGGAGTTTGAGTTACCAGATAAAACTCGTGGCCCCTGCTGCAGATTCTTTACATTTTCCCTGGAGGCAGAAATTTCAGCTGGCTTGGCACATGCCTAAAAAGGGAGAGTCTGGCTGTGACACGGCAATATTTCAGAATATTTTACTTCTTTAGTTGTTGGCGTGGCTCATTGTTGCATTAAAGGCCAAACGGCCATTCTAGGCTTGCGAGTGGATATTTTTGTTAAGTTGTGGAAGAGTGTTAGTGCATTACTATGCACTAGGCACTGTTCTAAGGACTTTATTGGGTTTTCATTTCATTCTGACGGCGGTCTAATTGGTAGGTACTATTGTCCTCATTCTGAAGGCGAGGTGGGTGAGGCACAGAGGGGAAGACGTTTACCTGTGGTTACATCATAAGAAAGTGGTAGAGCCAGGGCTCTAACTCTGGCAGTCTGACTCTGGTTTCCCTGCTATTATTGCTGGTAATGAGACAGTCATTTTAATGTTGCTTGGGAGGAAGGAAAATTTTCAAAGGTAGTTTCTGATTAAGAAATAGAAGCCAGAGGACTCCCGGGGCTGGGAGCTCTTAGCTGGCAGGGGGCTCACCTGGGTTAGCTTTTGGTCCACAGTGTCCAGCCTGTGGGAAATGTGTACTCACTGAGTGAATGAATGAACAAACCGAAGAGGGTCGGGTAAAGACATGGTCAGAGGGAGGCCTTCATGAAAAGCGGAGCGTCTGACACTGCGCTTCTGGCGTGGGCGGTGTGGCCGAAACCCAGTGGAAGCTCTGGAGAGGGCCCGGCGTGAGGAGAGGGTGGCTTGGAGGTTATCCCAAGAGCAGGCTGGAGGGTTTGGGTCTGTCCCTGTGAAGAGAGACATTGGAAACTCCATTCAGCCCTGCACATCTTACTTGTATAGGGAAAAGGAGACACCTGATATAGTATCTTAGTTATTTAATAGACATTAATAAGTAGGGGATTTTCTGAACCCAGGTCTCTGATCTCTGCCTGTTTAAGCCACTTGGTATTTATGGACCCTGTTTTTACTACCACTGTTACTGCTGTTATTACTAACTAACTGCAGGTTATACTTAACCGAGTCTTACTGAGTGGTTGCTCTGTACCAGCTATTGTGCAAATGCATTACGTGTATTGTCTCATCAGTTCCTCTCAAGACTCCTGGGACTCAGGAACTATGATCCCTCCCATAGTGTTATTCTCTGCAGGGTGCAGAGAAGTCTAGTGACTGCTCAAAGTTGTGCAGGCGGTAAGTGCAGAACTAGAATTGGAGCCAGGTCTGTCTGACTTGAGTGTCTGCACTCTTCTTCCTTCTGTGGTATTTATGCTCTGTCTTGAGCAAGGTCCTGGAGGCGATGTGGAAGGTGAACTCAGTGAGGTCTTTGCCACTAGGAAGCTTCAGGTTCAGTTGGGGAGATGAAAACAATACACACAAAACTATAGTGCTAAAAATCCAAGTCCATCTTTATAACAAGATAGCATATCACTAAGCTGATCCACCCAGATGCCAGTATTTCGGTTGGAGGAGAGGAGGCGGCAGTGTTCCTTGCTGCTGCCCATCTGGGGAAGAGTAGCGCTTGGAGATGGAGTCTTAGATGGAACATTCTTAGGCCAGGGAGACAAAAGATCAAGGACCAGATCCTGGCTCTGCCACTCCGTTGTTTTGCACGTAGGCAAGCCATTTATCCTCCCTGGGCCGTAGGCATTCTAGGTGATCCTGAACGTGGCGTTTGGCCCTTTATTTCCTGAAGGGCTGAGAATAGGGTAAGATCCTGGACTTCAGCAACGCTAGATAACACAGAGGAGCAAAACGTGCACTGCATGCCAGACACCGGTCAGATGCTGAGGCTTCAGCAGCAAACTAGGCAAGTCTTGCCCTCATGGAGCTTGCAGGTAGCTGGGGAGGTAGATGATCAGATAAAAATGTGGCAGGGAGAGCTGTGGGGCTCCCCTTTATGGAGGGTTAGCAATAAATCCAAATCTGGAAGTAACTACTACAAGTGATTGTAAAGCACTTTACAGGTTTTGAATTGTTGTCACTTACAGTACCTCACTTGATTGTTTTGCGTCCTGGAGGAAGGGGAAGAGGAGGGTGTTTTCAGTGAGGGCAACAGTAGTCTTTTGGGGGCAGGGCAGCACCAAGGAGGGAAGGTGAGATAGTCTGCTTAGGGGGTGTGTAAGGTCCGGTTCCCCAGAAGGCCCCAGGACGAGGATTTGTGGCAAGTTCTTTATTAAGGAAATGTTCCCCTGAGACTGTCAGGTGTGCTGGGAAGCAGGGCAGGGAAGGCGAGGGAGCCAGACAAGGGTGTGAGCTCAGGAGAAGTCTGCCGAGGGTAGGTGGGCCTTAGCCCGTTGCTGCGGGGTGGGGGCAGGGGACAGTAAGGGAGGCCTAAGAGTTGGCCCAGTGGAACCGGGCTTCCATATGCCTCGCTGGACAGATGTGGGCAAAACGGCTCCGGTGGCCTGATGGCAGCCTTCTGAAGTAGAGCTGCTGGTGGCGGCCATGGTGAGCACAGCCAAACATAAGGTGGGAGGCCAGCGGCAGTGTCTGCTTCCAGGACAGATCGTGGGTGCATGTTACCCGTCAGCTTGCGGGGACCAGGTACAGCCTTGACTGCTTGTCAATATGTAGGTCCGTTGTGGTAGAGTGAAGAATCAGGGTTTTTTAATAAGGCACTGTTGACACCAAGCTGATCTAGGGTGAAACCTATTAGCTAAAAAGGACCCCTATAAATGGAGAGTTTCAATATTATTGATTATGACCACTGACTTGGCTAATGCATTTAAAAATCAATATGCTGACAATATCAAGCACATAAATAATTCGTAAATAGAAACAAATATTGGCTGGATTTTCCTTAAAGCACTCCTATGATATGATGGCACCAGCACTTGTATTTTAATTTAATGTTGGTGCCTATCATGGGAGAGGGCATGAAACTCCTTAATAAGGCTTCTCTCTTTTATTGCCATGACCTACAGAGTCATTAACTATGTTTTAGTTGCACAGCAACGCTTACGTTCCACCTGTCCAATGTCTGCTCGGCTAAGGAATTGCAAGACTAAACTGTATAGCCCTGAACAAAGGAGAAACAGAAGCAT